ATAAGGATATAGAGTATTTAAAAGCATTATTACCACCACCACTATTACATACAACTTTCAAGATGGGCTTTGACTTACTTTGGTTTCATGTGCCTTAAGGGTTTTGACTTTTGCTGGTGACTTGTTTTTGTTTTGATTCTGATTTTAACTTAGTGTACCCTCCCAAACTAAGTCATGGGGCAGGTTAGAAGTTGAATACATTAATTTCTGCCACCATGCCATTCTGACATTGATGTTCTACAGCAGTTTTCAAAAGGCAGGAGCATACCTGATTGAGGGAGGCAAACATAAGGGAGCAATCCCAAACACTAGAAACAGGGTGTAGATAGTGACTGTCCCTTACAGTGCTATTGGCATTCACCTGCACAAGCAGTTACTGCCTAAACATACCTGCCCTTCCAGGCAGTGCAGCAATTTGGAGTGCTGTGGCTTCCTACTGCACTGACCCGATGGAGAGCATGGGTGAGGTGCTTCTGTGCAGACACTGCAAACCTCCACTTGCTTTTTCATCTGCTCTCTTTCTCTAAACTATCCAAGATATGTGAGTTGCTAGGGCCAAAGGAAGAAATCCCGTCAAGTAATGACTGGATTATTGTAAATTGCCAGCAAGCTGTGGAATGGTATAGATATGAAATTAATAATAGGAAGAGGTGGTGTTTACCAGAGAACATCAGCAGTCCTGTTCACTGACCTGCACCCAGCCCCTAGGCAGCTAAAAGTGAGAACTGATGGGCCTGCTAGGCAACCAGTGCTCTGTCCAGAACAGGTAGGGTGGTAAAGAGGTGAGAAACCAGCAGAGGCTAGAAAAAGCCCCTGTATTGCAACCAGAACCTGCCACATGTCCCAGGGAGCATGCCTCCAATCACATACAGCCAGCAAGTCCACTGGAGCTGAGCAGGGTCTGTAGGTCACCTTCTCTACCTGACCCCTCTCCCTCTGGGCTGCAGTGAATATTGCGACAAGGCAGCTGAATTCACCTTTGGGAACTGAACTGGCCAGGACTTTAAACTACAGCTAGTGAACATACCTATTGTGTGGTACCTGGGGCTGCATCAGTCTCAGCTGCCATGCTATATACAGGTAGAAGGGAGCTGAGTGACTATGGAGTAGCAATGACTCCTTGCTTGTTCATCCGGAGTAGTAAATAGCAAAGATGTCTGCTTGCCAGGCAACAACATTGCTGTGCCCGGCACTCAATGCTACCCAGAAGGAAAAGGTCCACTGAGGGCAGGTGAGCACTGATGGCAGCAAGCAGCAGTCCTCTCTAAAACATCGAGAGAACACTGCCACCTAGCCAAAATATACAGAACAGAAACAACTGCAGAACCTTCCCGTTTACGTCTGCCTTCCCTTTCCTCTCTGTTACTTCATAAATATGAAGTATAATAAATATGAAGTACAATATAACTATTATAAAAATAATCCTGGTCTGAGTGATCAGAAGTAGCTTTACTTTAGCATTTGGAGCAACCACAGCCACTTAATCTCCTACTGTGCTTATTCACTCTCTCTTTGGGGTACTTTGAGATAAGCTGATTGTCCTGTCTCATTTAGAGAATTTTGAGCACACCCATATATGGATGATCACTCAGAATCTTCCCTTGCTTTCCCACTGCTTTTTCCATCTTTTTTCCTCCTGCAAAATATGTTAAGATAAAAAAGATGGAATTGTTGCATGTTGCTGATTAGTTTCATCTGAAAGCCTCCTCTGGGTAGCCAGATGGCAAAAAGCAGCCATCTGTCCATGTGGGTTGCAATGCCTGCATAGAACAGGGCAGGTGACAGACCAAACTGGCTGCTCCTTGAAACTGTCATTTATCCGTTTCAGGAGGAGCTAGTAAAGCTTCAGTCCTTATATAGATGTACTTGGAAGTGAAGACACACCGGATACGGTAAGATTCCAAGTCAACATGGAAAAGCTTGGGAAACCACACCGGTCAACTAGTTTCTCCTTCAGAGTATACTTGCTTCTCTTACAAGCCAAGAAAAGCTGTTGATCACAGACAAGTGCTTTCCCTAATAGGAAGAGGTCAGGGACCAAGGAGGAAGCTGCTGAGCCAGTCCTGCTTCTCTTTGAGTAGACATGCAGAGGATTGCCCTGTTTGTTTGCAGACATGTATTTATTTCTATATATGGGTAAATATGCATAGACTTGGCTTTTATTGATTTATTCCTGCTTAAAGCATACAAACATAAGCCAGGCTCTTGAGAGTAGACATACTGCCCATATTTACTATTGAGCAAACATGCAGAAGTTTTCCCGCTTACATCTGAATTGACTTAAAATCAGAAACACATTTTGTCCCCAACCACAGAACTAATGCACACTCCCCCATAGTGCTGTATGCAGATATGAACTTTGCAGCAAAAGTCCAGGTGGCCAGCAGCCTAGGAGTCTTCCAAATGACCCTCAAGAGGATGAGGCATCAGCACCTAGACAAGCATGGGCTTGTTGAAATCCCACAGCTAAAATCCAGCACAGCATCCTTTCTAAAATGGGTCAGGCAACATATATACAAAGATGATAATTTTAGGATTTTAGTTATACTTTAAAATGTAGCATCTCTTTTTACAACAGCAGCAGCAGCAACAAATCTTGTTCCCAAATAAATACATTTACCAGAGCAAACTCATGCAGTCACGCTGTTTTAAAGGGAGTTTAAAAGTGCAAAGCTGTACATGCATAGAAGATTTTTCTTTAAAAAAAATCACGGTTGCATACAGAATGTTTTATTTTAATTTTATTGCTTATGTACGATTTGTTCTAACATATCAAAAACACAGAATCCGTTGTTAAGCACAGAACCCTGCTGTATATACGCGAGTGCGTGGGCAAAAATAGAAATGTCCGTTATGATCTTCTCAACTGAAATAATACACATCTTTGCCTAAACTGCTGCCTTCCCAACCTAAAATCACTAAGTCCAGAGTCTAAAATTACCTGCTACCCGTTCCAACCTTTCCCGGATTGAAATTCGGTCTTCGAACTAAAAAGGGTCGCCCCACCCAGGTCTCTGATGGCACTGAGCGCAAGCCAGGTCTGCACGGCCTCCCGCTGACTCTGAGGAGGAGGAGGAGCGGGATAAGGGTCTGAATCTCCGGAGCCTTCTTCCACCGGCACTGGTGACCGGGGCTGCTCCTCCTCCTCCTCCTCCTCCTCCTCCTCAGAAGCAGCTAGTAAGAGGTCAGAGCCGGCGGCCCCTCCTGGAGGATTAGCTTGAGTCGCGGTCGCCTCACCCCGAGCACTTTTTCTCTGGAAGGCTCCGCACTGTCCGCAAGCCAAACTAGCGATATTGAAGTAATGAGACCCATCGCAGCCCTGTGGCCGGTGCAAGGGGAGGTAGAAGCCTTGCCCGTCCGAAAGTCCCGCGCTTAAGAACAGCAAAAGGAGCGCCATGCCAACACGGCACCTTGGCATCACCATGGCTACTGAAGCCTCAATCCCGCCCCCTAGTGCAGTGACGCAGCCACTAGCTTCTTCGGCATCCTATGGCAACTCAGAAGGTTCAAAATAAGCAAGGAAAGACTGTCTTAATTCGCTTGGTTAAAAAGATATCGGAAGAAATGAAGAACACGCCTCAATTATATGTACAATGTAATCTTCAAAATAATACCTTCAACTAAGGTTTCTGGACACGAAGGTCTGTTATGCATTTGTTGATATTTAAAGCGATAAGGTGACTCCATTTGAAAATGTATATTCCCAAGCAATCAATTCACAGTGCAATCCTCTGTATGTCTACTCAGAACTAAATCGCCACTTAATTCAATTGGGATCACTCTCAGTTTATTGTATAGTGTTGCAACTCTAATCGCTTTATAATTATCCACATCAGAACGGAAATCATAGGACTGGATTAAATTTCGAGATGGATATTTCACACCAAGCCATAAACACACCTACGTAAAAACAAAGCTCACTTGACATTATTGCAGATATATGATCAATCACAGTTTATCTGAGAGATGCTAGTTATAAATTACTTTTAAAGGAATGATAAAGGATACCAAAAAGAAGATGCACAAATAATAGGATCTGAAACCTCTTTTCATTTTTTATTCCTTTAAGTTAGCATGTCAAGTCACCTTTGCTAAACTGGAAAAGTACAGGTCTGCAGCCAGATGGGTGGCCAAAAGTGGAAGTGAAGCAGGGGATTCGACTACCTTCCTTTTACAAATAGAAACACTGTACGTTGTCTATGGTAAAGACAAGGCCAAATAGCCACTTATATTTATTTCGCATTTAAGAAAACTGTCTAACTTTTCACAGTCTTGATATACAAATCAATAGGTATAACTTACACAGGTATAATCATGCAACCATTGACACATAACCAATCCAGAAAAAAAAACACTTTCCTAGAAATCAGCATGTGTGCATCCTTGAAATGTAGCTGACACTAACCAGGCACCATTTCAGAGAAAGCTAGTTGGCACTTGACAGATAACAGCAGCTCTAAAAAAGGGCAATTCAACCAGCCCACCTTATCGTCTTCCTCTTCTGTGTAATAGCATCCCATCCTCCCCCCTCCTTTGGAGCATCTTCTTTTGTATGCAAGTGGAAAATATCATGCCAATATAACTTTGTACTTCTCTAACCCATTGGCAGGTGTTAACTTTAATGATCAATGCATAAAAGTGCTCAGTGAGGATTGCTCAGGTGCGCCATCTGGAACGATTCGTTAGTAGCCGGTTATTTTCGAGAATACATCCTTTATTCCTTCCTCTGTTGTATATTTTGGGCATACACACATCAGGACACGGACCATTTGGTCAACAATCCCACTATGAAGACACAGCACAGATCCTATTCCTAGGAAAGTCAATCAGAAAAAAAAATCTCCATTCGTTCCGATGAACCAATCTGCAAACCTTCAATTTTGCCTCCTCCTTGCACGCATGCCTAGTTGTTACCGGAAGATACCGGGACAAAGGCGAAGGATTGGCAAGTTCTTGAGCTTCCGTTATCGCGCACGCATGCGTGTTTCGGGTCGTCTGAGCCTTTGTGGGTGTGCGCGAAGCAAGCTGTCGTCCGTTGCTCTCTGGAGTTGGTCTCGGAGAGCTGTCGGAGCCAGGCTGCCATTTTGTCACTGGCGGACATTGTGCTTGTAAACTGGAGCGCGGAGCGAGTACGCCCTGTTGCTTGCGGGCGGGACGCGACGCCTCTGCCCTAGAGCCGCCGTTGCCCTTTGGGCGGATCCGGCGAGGAAAGGGAAAAGCCCCTGGGAAGAGGCCGCGGAGTTCGCCTGACGACCTTAGATAGATGCGCGGTGTGTTTCCTCTCCTCCCCTGAGAAGCCGAGTCGCTCTCGCAGGTTCATGCGCCTCAGACGGGCCTGGTTAGTAGAAGTGAACTGTTGCAGTGTTGATGCGCGCGTGCGTGCGTTTACGAGTGTAAGATGAGGCGAGGCTGGCTTTGGTGGTGGCCCTCTCGGCTGCAGGAATCTCCCGCGCTCTCCTCAGATTACCTACGATGCCTGCTACTGCTGTGTAGCATGTTTGGGCCGAGGGATATTCTGGTGGGTGGTATTTGAAGGTCGATTAATTTTGGAGTGATCGGTACCAGGGTGACACTGGTGACCGTCGGAGGAAAGGTCGAGCACATCTGTTTCTCTTTGGCTTATACATACATATATACAAGGTGATTATTTTGCGCGTGCCTTCCAAGTCGTGGTGATGAGTCCGCCAGTGGAAGAGAAGAATTGCATCTCTATTTAAGGTTGTTGGTTTGATCAGTTACTCTGTATCCGGTGAAGGTAATCTCGGACTTGGAACTTATTTTCTTTTGTTCTCCAAGGCACAACATTTCTTATATCACGTCTGCTTGGTTGATTGGGTTAATTACAGTATCTTGGAGCGCACTGGACCATTCTGAATCCGTTTTCACTAGGAGAGTTGTGGAATTTTACAGGAACGGGCATGTGAAGACTACACTGGACTAAGAAAAATCTGCTCTTATTCACATCTTATTTTATCAAGTGATTTTGTCTCCTGGTGGCTGCCTTGAAGCTATTACATGATTGGTTGCTCTGATAGGCACCCATTGACTCGGGGGCAGGAAATGAAAAAAATATTTGCTGCTCAAAAGGACATATTTTACCTACTTCTGACATACAGTGAATGATATTCCTGACATGGTTGTTGAAGTCAGCATACCTGATATCTCAGAATTGTCCTATGTTCATTATTCTACAAATGAACAAATTGACAAATCATCTCAGGAGGAGCAGAGCAGAAACTTTTCTGATAGCGATGACATGAAGAAATAGTTCAAGTAGAGGCGAATACATGGAACTTTTAACAGGAAATGATACTGTAGCTTCCTCTTAACTTCCTCACAATTATACAAGAATAAAATGCGCAAGGTTTTTTTTTTTTTTTTTTGACTGGGACTGACCATTCTGCATCTATTCCATCTCCTCCATGGAAACACTTAAACATCTGTGTACATTGGATAATATAATATGTTTTTTCTCTTTTTCCTTTGGAAGCTACTTAGATCTTCCATAAACTCACAAGTTAGTGTTTGAAGTGCTGCTTTGGAGATTGGTAGTGCTGTTCTTCTGAGAAGGATGTCTTTGCAGTGGGACTTAGACTTGGGGAAGCGTGCCTTGGATAGTAGCTTCACAGTGCAATTCCATACATGGCAACTCAGAAGTAAGACCTACTGAGTTCAGGTGGAGTTAGTCCCAGTTAAGTGGTATAAGATGTAGCCTTAACTACTTATTGGATGTTACATATCTTTATCTCTTCTATGTTACTCATCTAAATCATTACATGCCTTATCTATACTCGATAGCTAGGAGTTGCTGCATAGTCAACTTCTAACCTTGGATCTTGTTCAGTTAAGGCCTCAGATCTACTAAAACTTGCCTTATATACATCTTAGCTGCCATGGAGGTCCTTGTTGAAACTGGGAGGCAAGGTATATTTTGATCATTAAATATAATTGGTTCTTTGTGGTTGCCAATGAAACTTTTAGAATAGTTGTCACTGGTTCCTCAGCAGGAGTTTTTATGTAGTTTATGCCTCAGAATATGAAATTGCTGCATTGAGCCTGTGGGTAATGGATTGTTTTCCATCTCCATTAATATCAATGGGAATATGGCCATTGATTTCTCTGTGATATGGGTATCTCTGCTAGAGCACACAGATCAGTCTTCTCAGAATAAAAGATGTTTTGATAGAACAGCTCAGATTGTATTTAGTGCTTTTGTGTGAATGAAAGGTTGGTTCTTGACTTATTTTTGGAATTGGTTGAGAGTGAGAAGTTTCAGTCTTTGACCTTTTTGGTCCTGCAAATTAGTCACAGATGACTTGACTTCTAGTAATAATGATTTGTTAGAAGAACATTTAAAATTGACTGTGTTCCTGTGTTAAAGTATTAGACTGTAGGTTGTTTTGTCACTAATTAGGCCTGCAGTTTTGTGTATGCTTATTTCTGAGTAAGATCTGGTGAATTCATTGGAACTTATTACCAGGTTAATTTACGCAGGATTGAGCTGCATAATTTTCTGTTACTTTCTCCTTTTACATAGCTTATGGAAAGATTGACTTGGCAAGGTCACACACAGATTTTTCTGGAGGTAGTCAACACATTGTGAACTTTAAATTTTGCAGTTTATTCATGTTCATATTCTAAACTACAGAGATATTATATTGGATTTTTCTGGACATGATGTGGTGACATGCATCTGTGGAAGAACTAGAATGAAACATTTTCTTGGAATTTCTGATTTTTGGATTTATTTTTCTTAAAACGATCGTATTTGCATTGCGAAATTCACTCACTGGTGAACATCTTGCCACACTTTGGAGGAAAAAAAGATTTCAGAAGAACTGGATGCCTCTATTTTTGTGTGAGACTTCATCTTTCAAGGCCTACAGACATTAAGGAGAGGTTTTATATACATGTTCATCTCTTGAAGATTAATCTTTTCATTGTGTGCTGAAATCAGTTTAATCAGAATGTAAGAACATCCTCCTAAAATGGATACACAAGCCAAGATCCTATTCAATTGAAATTGGTTATTCATAATTATTTTCTGCATCTCTGGAATGGAAAAGGACCATCACTTTTTATTTCTTACTGACTTATTAATGTTGACCATGGTTATGGATACTCCACAGTAATGTGGCATAATTTGTAAAGCTAGTTCTTAGCCATTAATTATGTTTCATTTTCTTTCCACAGTTAAGTTGATTTCACAGACTTTATCATCTTCCAGGAAGAAACAGGTAAGCTTCTAAAAGGTTAATGCTTCTGTTGTCCAAGATTTTTTCTTCCAAATGTATGGATGGAAAGGAAGATATGCATTTGGATTCCCTATTCACAAGAAAAGGATTTCTGAATTTGCTTCATTGAGGTGGGCTAGTCTGCTGATAGAACGTGATGGCTAAATCTAATAGACGTCAGTATGAGTTGCTTGGAAGTGATAAGAAAACTTTTGACATAGATCTTTCTAGTTGTTTGATATCAGATGGCATGGGACCGCCTTGATCTGTCATTTGAAGTCTTCATAGCAATTCGAATGGACTGCGATATATTCTGTGAAAATTTTGATATGTTTTGACCAATAGGGCTTTTATGACTGGGAACGTTTGTGGAACTGTTGACGATTTCAGTTTGCTATGTTTGCAAGCTTTCAGATTAAAATAGGCTTCCTATTATTCCAAATGATGGAATTATTTTTTGTTTTCATATACCTGGATCAAGGCAGGGCTTTTTGTTTTAAAATCTATAGCTTGAGGTATAGCACTTTCCCTGTGTACTAAAGGCTTGCTATCATGTATACCTTTTTGTCCACAGGTGATTATTGCTGTGGGTTGAGCTCAGAATGGCTGTAGTCATCCGTTTACAGGGGCTTCCTGTTGTTGCGGGTTCTGCAGATATTCGCCGTTTCTTCTCAGGATTGAATATTCCTGATGGAGGTGTACATATCATTGGAGGAGAAAAGGGGGAAGCTTTTATTATATTTTCAACAGATGAAGATGCACGACAAGCAATGAGCTATTCAGGAGGATATATTAAAAATTCACGTATAGAATTTTTTCTCAGCAGCAAGACAGAAATGCAGAATATAATAGAAATTAATAGGAAAAGATTTGATCGTGGTGGAAGAGAGACACTAACTGGGTCAAGGCGAATAGCTTCCAGCAACTCAGGAGCATCTGGAGTTGGCAACCTTTCAAATTTAGTTGCAGCTATTAAGAAAGGAATTAGTAAATCAAGGTATGATTCTATGGATCCTGTGGAGCGTGACTTTCATTCAAATGGCTCTCGACACAGCAATATGGATGTTTCAAAATCAAATTATAATCAGCCCAGGGGAGAGTCAGACAATGTTTACGTATTTATACGTGGCATGCCTTATTCTTCAACAGAAGATGATGTGTTCACTTTCTTCTCTGGATTACAAGTGGAGGAAGTGATCCTGCTACAGAGCAATGGTCGAAACAATGGAGATGGTGTGGTAAAATTTGCTACGTCAAATGATGCCAGAAAAGGGCTACAACGTAATAGGGAGTATATGGGTGCAAGATTTATAGAAGTGCACCCCTCTAATGAAGGAACATGGATTAAATATGGTGGAAGACTGCATGAAAAGATGGATTATTCTTTCAACACTGAACATTTTGATCACAAACTGAATAAAGAATTCTATTCTTCAAGCAGAGAACACTCAAGAAGAGAATCAAGCTACTCATCCTCAAGAAAACGCACACGTTCACGGTCTCCTCCAAGGAGGATTATGTCACATACCCATTCACAGTCTCCAACAAGGAGAGTTATGTCACGTACTCATTCACGGTCTCCGCCAAGGAGAGTTACATCACGCACCCATTCACGGTCTCCTCTAAGGAGAGTTACAACACGCACCCATTTGCGGTCACCTCCAAGGAGGGTAAAAACACGTTCTCGTTCACCTTTCTGTGAATCAAACCGATCTTATTCACCTCATAACAGAGAGTATTATATACATATTAAAAATCTGTCTGCTGCTGTTGAGAAGAGAGATTTGATGGTATTCTTTGGAGACTCAAATGTAACTAGCAACCAGATTACATTCTTAAAGCCACATGATAATGAAACACGTAACAAGGATGCAGTTGTGATGTTCAAATCAGAGAAAGCCTATCAGGCTGCTTTAAGTCTTCATAAGCATGGACTTTTTGGTCGACAAGTGCACATTTTCCCAATTTCCAAAACAACGGTGTATCAGTTAACTGGATCTTCCGTAACTAAAAGATCACCAGAAAGACATCACCATGTAAAGGAAAAAAGTAATCGTGATGGGTATTCTGTTTCAAAAACATGTGTATATGTAAGAAACTTTCCATTTGATGTGACAAATGTTGAAGTACAGAAGTTCTTTGCAGGATTTAATATTGATGATAGAAATATTTATTTACTTTATGATGACAAAGGAATTGGACTGGGAGAAGCATTGGTCAAATTCAGATCTGAAGATGAAGCACGGAAGGCTGAAAGCTTAAATCGTCGGCGGTTTTTGGGAACAGAGGTACTCCTAAGATGTATACCTGAGGAGCAAATGCAAGAGTTTGGTATTAATGTTTCACTGATGTCAGATGAAAAGATGCAGAGTCATCTTCATGCATATGAAAAAGATGAACACTTCTACTCAGCTGGCTCACCAGAACCGTCCACTCAGAGTAACTTAAAGCATGATTATAGATGCCCATCGGATGAATTTATCTATTCTCCTGATAATTTTAGAGGCCCTCCCCCATTTACAGAGTTTGGCGAAGGTATTCCTGGAAGTTTTCCGGATAGGCACTTTATGTCTGACTCTAATTTCAGAGGTGGCTCAGATCATGTCACACTGATTAAATTAAAGAATATACCATTTCGAGCTTCTCCTAATGAAATTTTGGATTTTTTCCATGGCTATAAGATCATACCAGAATCTCTTTCTGTGAATGAGAATGAATATGGTATGTCTTCTGGTGAAGCTGTTATTGCCCTGATAAATTATAATGAGGCAGTAGCTGCTGTTAATGAACTAAACGATAGGCCAATTGGCCAACGTAAAGTCAGGTTAAGTTTGGTGTAGATGAGAAGATGCCTAGGAGACAAAGTGAAGACCTTTATAGTATTAATACACGCAAAATAACAGCAACATTTTTACTTGGAAAATGAAAGAAGTCACATTGAGCTGTTTGTAATTAGTTCAGTCCAATTTTAAAGTTTCAGCAGACTTTTTAGAGTTGAATCAGGGCTTTAAAGATCATATTGGATCATCTTCACAGTTCTGCAAGGTGTTGCCTTGCAGTATGCATATTTTAATATAAAAATATGGCATTGCATGCATTTTGTTCATTCCATAGCTGCATGCACATTTAGTTTGTCTAAATGAATTGACACAGTTCAGAGCTATTACAAAGCATAGATTGTGTCACCCATGTATATACTAACAAGGTGATCCACAGATTTTGGATTTTTGCCCACTGTCATATTCTGTGGTATCTGGAATACTTTTTGTTAATATCAGCTCGACATTCCTTTTGAAATAAAAGCACATAAACTGTACTATGTGAATTATTACTTCTGTGTTGCCTATTCATATCCAATAACATTCGAGAGTCCAGATAAAACTAATGCTACACTTTGCCAGAAAATAAATGTAGACTGTATCTGCACCTCTAAAGTTTACAGATTATGTGCAATCAAAGATAACATGTTGATAATACTAGAAGAGGACTACTACTTTTTAAAACCAGTTCGTAGATGTGGTCTATGGAACTCAAAACATTAAGTTTGCTGATAACCAGAAATATTCAAGTTAGGTAGTACAAGTCAACTTATTTCCTAAGAATAGCAATCTTTATGGCTATTGGTTAGAATGGCCTAAGCTAAGAACATAACAGGGATGCTGGATCAGACTGCTCTGATTTAGCCCAACAGTGAATTTGCATTGCTGCCAGTCATGACTATGGAAGACACATAAGCGGGACATCAGTGCAACAATATTCTTCAGCTTACATTCCTAGAAACTGGCATGTGGAGGCATATTAATCTGATACTGGAAACATTGTGATTAGTAATTATTGATCGTTCATGTCAATTCCGAGGCTTCCCAAATTTTAGAGCAATGGTAGTTGACATTGCCAACCTGCTTGTGTGTTAACAAGTGGAGTGTTTCTAAAAGGCAGATAAGAGAAACAGGAGGTACAGGAAAGATCTGTGGAGAAAGGAACTGCAAGAGGAACGGACTGCTAGGATGGTAATAGTTATAAAGGATTTAGGAGTATAATGAAGAGTTGGATTTCCCACATGATCTTCGGTACTCCACAGCCTTTGTATTGGTAAGCCTCCTGATTCATCTCTTAAGCAGATTTACCATTCCTTTTCTTCTCCTCTCTGCACCACAGGGTGGGGGCTTTTGTTAGATACCAGTGTTACTAGAAACACAAAGGAGTGTTAGATGAAATAACATCTTAAAAAGTGGAAGAACTTGTAAAAGTGTTGTGAGGACTTGCTTCTTTGAGTATCTGCATCTTCAGAATCATTCCAGAAAGCTTAGCGTCTTGCTTGCAGTGGTGTAGAGACAGAACTCTATGGAATTACAAGAACAGGTGATCCAAACAGGAATGTGCAGAGAAGCACTAGGTTATCAGGGAAGTGCAAGGAGCTTTCTGTGCAGAGTGGTACACATTGTTCCAGCAACGTGGCTAGAAATGAAAGCTTTAAAGCCTGAGTACTGAGCCCTACGTAGAGCACACCTGCAGGCCTTCTGTGTCACCTGATAATTCTCATACTTGTGAGCACTTGCTACTCATGAGTATAGTTTTACTCAGTAGCTTATTCCCCAGATGAGGACTTCTGCATCTGGCTGATCCTCAACCTTAAGATGCCTGCATCCTCTGATGCTAGGTGGTCATCTGGTGTGTGAGAAGGATCTGATTTGTTTGCAAGATGTAAGATTGAAGGTTTTTTTTTTTTTTTTGAAGGGCCAGGATCCCTCTGTACTGCCCCAAGATTTCAAGTCACAGGCAGTCTCTGCAACATTTCCCAAGGCAATCCAGGCACTCTGAAGATGATTCCCCCAGAGCAGGTATAGCCCGTAGTTGCACAGGCTAGTTGGGAGGTACCCTTGTACAGTGTGCTTTAAACCTGGAGTACAGAATGTGAATGCATTGCATGTGGCCTGCAAAACTGGCAGAGGTGTGCCCAGTTTTCCCTGTAGCCTAGCTGATGAAGTGGGCAAAAGGAAAAATGCTGGACAGCAATCTTCATAGGGATTACTGGGTGCAAGATGAGTGGGATAGAAGCTTTTATTTAATCCCTCAGTGGGCAGGGAGAGGAGGTTCAAGTCTTCCAGTCCCTGTCTGTTGAGTGTGCAAGCAACATGTGGGCCTCAACTGAACGCCAACATTGGATGCAGTACCTGATGCTACAAAATTTGTGGATCCCTGCACTTACTGTCTTGAGCAGGAAATTCCTACCTTACATACCAAAGAGTAAACACTGGGCAGTGAGCAAAATAGAGTACAACTTTGCTGGGTTAGCAGACAAGGGCATCCTGCCACTATCCAAGCAGACTTCTTGAGTTATTTCTGAATTCAACAAGAGCTCTCCACAAAACCAAGGCATTTGACTCTGTTTTCCTGTGTAGATGAAAAAAGTTAAAGGGGCAGTTTGGTCTGTAGAGATGATTAGGGGGTACACTTCATCTAATGCCTTGCTATGGAAAAATGGCTTAGTGATCCATTTTTAACTCCTGATTTTAATAAAACAGAGTCCTAGGGCAGTATTCAGCACTACTGTTCAGCTTATGCTACTGATGTAGACATTCATATAAATGACTTCCAGCAAATGCCAATACCTTGTGCTGGAATATTGTGCTTCTCTGGAAAACATAGTGCATATAATATACTGTGTTATTAAAGCTTGTCAAACTTGATTATTGTATTACACAGCAATGTACTGTTGGCAGCATAGTGTTAATTCTTAATGTGGATTTATCTACAACTGGAAGCCCACCAACGACTGCAGCTCAGTATAATGCTTAATTTTCTGATATTACTAATACCACTGCTTCTTAACCTTTAATGTATTGCAGACCTTTGTTTTAGTTTGCTGTTCTTCAGACAACTGTATTTCTTTATGATTTATACCTTATAGGAATAGATGCTTCTTCTGAAATGAGTCAACTACAGTCAAGTACATCTGTCTAGATTATGTGAGGAGAAAGGTAAGGGGAAGCATTTCTAGGTATAGAAATGAATTTGAGCCATTTGGTTCAGAGCTTTTGCTTCCCCTTTAACCTGCATGTTCATTACAGTTCCATCAAGGGTACATTTAATATTTGTCACTTATTCTGGAAAAAGCTTTCAGCTTTCCCTCAATCCCATGATTTTGAGTTTACCTCAGTGTATTGAGGATCACAGTTTAAGAATCAATGAGACTGAGGAAAGTTACTACTTTATGAATACTTATTAATACAAGAGAATTTATTTTTATTATTTCCAAATGGCTTAGATATTCCATAATAGAAGTCTCAAGCAAATTTGAAACTCATGCAGAAATACTGGCATCTGTAATACTGATAATACATGCAGACATTTTCATATAAAGAGATACTGCAAGGAGAATACATCCCAAATATCACCATTTTCTATATTGTATCTATATCTAAATTTCAATAAAATATAAGTTGTTAGAAGTTATGCTTCTGGAAGGCACTTCTAGTGAGGGTACTGAAGCTCAATGGAGAACAGTTTAGTTCTCAGTTTAATTGCATTGTTTCTGTTTCAAATCAAGTGTAAAGGAGATTCAACTACATTAAAGATTAAAACAGCTGTTAGAAAAGACCTTTAGTAGGAGCAGGCACAGATATCTGCTTGCTGGCCATTGCCAGCACCCCTCAGTATATGGCATGTTGCAGAATGAGGTTGTGCTAGGGTTCTGTGACAAATATCTTTCTAATACTTGCATTTTAGAATTATAGACAGTTGTATTCTGAAAATTTCACCAGCAGCTAAATTGCTTCCACAATCAATCTGCACAGCTTGTGAGAATGAAGATGAATTTGGTTACTATGATCTAGTAATTAAACCAGAAAATTTGTTCCCTTGTGGTTGCAAATGTTTTTTCTAAGAAGACATTCTAAAAAGATAGCATGGTTTCTGGAATGTATGAAACCCACACAAAATTCATTGAAACTTACTGAATTCCTCACATACATATACAGAACTAAACTAATTGGCATAACCTTCATTTTGTGTCTACTGAAAGAGCCTATTGTTAGAAGACATTTAAATTTCACACTCTCAAGAATACATAAGATAGGTAACAAATACCATTTTGTTTTAAATGATCAAATCATCCTTTACTGCAATGTCAATGGATAGTCTTAACATCTAGGATTAACCATCAACACAAGGAAAAATGTTTAAAGAAAAATTACGGCTTCAAAAGCTATCTTTCTTCTTTGGTGGTTTCTAATTCCTCATCTTCATCTTCTTCCTCCTCATCATCCTCTTCCTCCTCCTCCTCCTCTTTCAATCGATTCCTAGAAATGTGCTACCACAGAATATAACAAATCATAGACTTATGGATAAACCTGAGTTGGAATTGAAGAATAGTTTGCATTTTAAATATTACCTTTTTTAAAAACAGTATTTCTTGTAAAAATTGTGCATTGTTTGTAGGTGATAATATACAGCAGTGGTAGGATACCAATGATAGGAATTTGTGGCTTGTGACTGAATGATCTTCATATGGCCCATGGTATTTATGCTCAGCCTTTCAGGGAGCAGCCCCTGTTCCATCTGGAAGAGCAGAATGCATCTGAAATGCATTTGAATGCCTTCTAGCACTATGTGGAGAGAAAAAATAGTGGTCGCAAAAGTGGGGGTTTGGCTTTGTCCAGTTTTTTCTCTAGACATGCCCTCTGTTGGATGCAGTTCTTAGTGATTTTTTCCTGCTTCACAGGGGGGAAAAAGATGCCCACAATTCAAGTTATATTCAAACAACTGTTACCACTGTACTTCTACCACTGAGTTGTATACACTTAACAGGTAGCCTAATGTTAAATTGCTGCTGGAGAATTTAGTAGTAGTTTATTGTTGCTGCTGCTTGGCTGAGTGAAAAAAAGTGATGCAAGTGCTTTGAGGGTATTCAACAGCAGACAGAACTGACCACTTTTTTTGTTACCATGATTGTTGTATTACTGTTAATGGAGATACTATTCTGTCAGGCCTGAGGAAGGTAGTAACCTTTTCCACTTCAGAATTTGGGTAGGACCTTGTACAACTTTCATTGCCACAGAATACCAAGGAAGATACCAATATTTTTCAGCTGGATTTACAGAATGATACCTCCCGCAACAGTTTACCATCCTGTAACACCCTGTGAAACCTGTTGCACCAGTAAACAGCATTGTACCAGAGACTGCTTATGCTATTGCAAGATAGCATAATTTATCTTAGCAGCAGTATTAAATACTGCCCAGGAAGATCAGAAGGTACAGGTTCTTACAAGAATATATACACAAATTTTCCCATGCGCACTTCCAAATTTGAATCCAATACATGCTACTCGGTGGTACTTATCTTGCCACTTTCTCCTTTGCTCTGAATAATTTTGATATTTCAGAGCATATTACTAAACTGGCAGTCGGTTAACATCTAGAAGGAAATACTATGATTGGCAGGCACTAGCATAGGTTTATCAAGAATAAATCATTCCTGTGAAAATACTTGTTGACAATCTGATAAATTATGTGCTGACAGAGACTTCTGGTAGGTAGATCTTGGGACTTAGGGCTGTAGAGGGGATATGACATAATGTTGGGAGGGATAGCCAACACTGTAGAAGTCAGAATCAAGATTTGAACCATCCTGAAAGTCTGGAACATTGAACTAGAACCAACAGAGATAAATGTACAGCCATTTATTTCAATGAATAAAATTAAAGGAACAGAGACCTGGCTTGGTGGCAGTAGATGGGAAAATGATGTAGATGTCTTTATTAATCAGAAGCTCAACATAGGCCAACAGTGTGATGCAGCTGCTAAAAGATTTGATGCAATCTTAGATCTTAAGCTGCATTAACAAAAGTACAGTATCCAGGTAACTGGTCCATTATATTCTGCAGTAAGACTGCAACAGGAATATAGCATCCACTTCTGGATGCAGGATTTTAAAGGCCAGGACAAACAGTACTAAGTCTAGGTTTGTAAGGGGTCAAGAAACAAAAGTTCTTGGAACAATGGTTCAAAAAGCTTGGTGTGTTAATCCTTTAGGGGAGATGACAGATTCTTCAAATATCTAGAGTAGATTTGTTCTCTGCTGTTCCAGAGGGCAAGTGTAAGGGTAGACATTTTCAGGGGAGTACATTTTAGTTGAAGAGAAGTACAAACTCTGTTCTGAACCAATGGAAGTATTAGGACCATATTGTCTTGCTTGACAAATAAAGGGGGAAAACAGTGAAGTGATAATACCTATTGAGCTATTAGATGGGATCGGGTAAAGCTATAGATTTCCAGGTACATCAAGGAATGCAGATTCAGAGCATGGTAGGGTTAAGGCTCGCTTTTCAAGATACTTCGACAGTATAATCATGGTTTCTATATTCAGCCAGTCTTCTCACAAGTTATGTTCCCCAAATGAGAAATGTGTCATATCAAACACAATTTGAAATTTACTTTTAGGTTCTTTCCTGTTTGATCAAAAGTCAGCTTCTAATCCTAATGTTTAAAAATGAACTGTGTATGACTTTTTCCATACAACTGGTGTAAAGTGTATGCCAGTTTTACCAATATTTGAGAGTGATAGTTCTACTGTCAAAACAAAAAAATTAAAGAACTTTCAATATATCCTTCCTAATACAAGATTGTGAGTGTAGGGAAACATGCTTCACACCTTGTACAGAAAAGACTTTTTAAATCAATACATGTAGGTTTTTATATCTTGTAAATAATTTGTAACATCTTGCACATTTGAAATTAGGCAAAGTAGGTATTCAAAGGAACAAAAAACCTGACATGATTTTTTTCAGCTGTGACAGAACAGGAGATGAATGGAAAACATTCTAGAAACATTTCCTAGAATTTTGCTGAAGAACACATTCGCTCTTTTTGTCCTACCTGAACCATTCCAGCACAAGTTCTGGGTGAACCAGTTCTATGAAGGGGTGACTTTGAATTTGCACGGACAATGTCCAAACGTGACTGATGGTCTGGTGGATAAAGTGAACTCCGAAACACCTGTCAAATAAGCTACTGTTCAGGATATATACTAGTAGGTGGTGGTTTTCAAACTTTCTATGAACTTTTTCTACACTGATTTGTTTCTTAGAGAATCAATGCATGTCTGCCTCAGCATATTGTATACTCATATGAGGTTCTGACCAGACCTCTTATGCTTCACTCTTCCAGTCTATGGAAGTCAGTGTGACCCAATCAATATACATCCAGTACTTTCCTGAAGCCACATTTTTAAGGGAGGGCAAGTTTCCATGGTAGCCTCTCCATCTTTACTGAGTTTTTAACTGAGGACCATGGTATTTATAGTACAGCAGGACCCCTTATCTGTGCAGATCAGTTCCAAGCCCCCCAGCAGATGCCTGAAACTGCAGAGAATAGCAAACACTGTATTATACTATATATACATTTCTTTTTTCACAATTTTATTTGTGAAACGGCATACAGGTTTTTCTTTTCTTAAATAAAGAATTTTCCCTTACAGGAAGCACTTTACAATTTCTCTCTAGCACTTTGGAACTTCTCTTTTGGTCCAAAGGCAGCTGCAGTTAACTGAAAACATGGTAACTGAGCCAATGAATATGGAGGTCCTGCTGTATGTCTTAAGAAAATGGCACAGTACAGCAGCCCCAGGATTTTTTGGCTTAATTTAAATTCTTGGTTTAATTTGATTTAATTTAACTCGAAGTCTGAGATAGCATTTGTTGATACACATTATTCTAAATGAGGTTATTTTTAAAATATCAAGACTTCTTATCTGAAACATTTCTAGAAAATATTCTAGCAAGGTATGTGATATTCATTTTTAATATCAAGGGTTGTTTCCCAATAGGTTTCTCCTGCCTGCAGAACAGCTTCCTTTGATGGGATGGACTGATTCCTCCAGCAGCCTCTCCAATTTTCTCTGGAAAAATGGGGGATTCTCTGGAATAGGTTTGGAGGGAGAGAGGAGAATGGGAAAGTTCTGCTGAATAAGTGGACATCTGCTAGATTGAACACTTACTTTGTGATTTGAATCATGTAACTCTAAGACTGGGTTCACACAGCATGGCAATCCATTGTGGGTGAGTTGTGAGCCATGGTGAGTAATTGTGTTGTGTGAACCTGGATTGCTTCTTGCAAGGCAGCTTGTTCATAGGCAAGAAGCCATCCTGACAACCCATGGCTTGTTGTAGGAGCTTTTCCCAGGTTGCCAAGTTATCTGAACCCAGACAACTAACACTGTTGTGGATACAGGAAAAACAGTGAGCAAATTGCTTGGCAGGGGCAGCAGAGTCCTCTTGCTGCTTTTTCCAAATATTCCTGGGCCGCTGCTAGTCAGCCTACCAGTGGCATCATGAAGCAACAGTCATTGGCTCGGTGTTCTCTGCACCAGTCACAAGCTCTTTTGCACTCATTGCTGCTCCCTCCAACCTCTTTACAAAAGATTACTCTTTGCAATCTCAGAGGTGGTAGCCCTCCCAAAGTGCCCAAGAAGCATAACAGAGAGGCTGTCACTGACCCCCTCCACACTTTCAAAATAAGTTTAAGCACAAGAAATTTGCACGCACGTGTTACTTTTTTAATGATTTTAAGTCAGTCTTGCACAAACAGGAAGTCATTCCTGGGCATTGCTGACCATGGATTTTTACATAGAGATGCTGTAAATATGTTCGCTTTCTACTTTGCACTTGCCTGACAGGTGTCAATAAACAAGTTGCCAAGACTCATGAAAAAGGGGCGGAGACATTTTCTCCTTTCTTCATGAAATAGTTCCCATTGTCCCCACTTTTTCATCCTTTGCCAAGACTCTTTTAAGTGCTCAGGAAAGGAGGATACCCTACTCCATTTTTTTTACCACTGTCAAAAGCTAAAACTTCCTTTTAAAATGGGGATTTAAGCAGTGCTAACAAATTGTTTTGAAAAGAAACATTCATGGACAATCTATATATCTGCATCTGTACACCTGTGCAAGACAGACTAATTTTCTTTCTTAAAAATCATCTAAAATACTTGGGCAATTTTTTGTACTTAAAAATAATTTTTAAAGGGTGGTGAACCAGTGACAACACTCCCATGTGCTGCTTGGGCACTTGGAAGGCTGTAAGCTTGGGGATCATGAAAAAAATCTCTGGAGGGAGAAAAGGGGGAGAAAAAGTAAGCACAAAGTAAAAGGGCTTGTGTTCACAGTAGGGAGAGAAAAGAAAGTGGCTTTAGGCACCAAGTCCCTTGGGATACTAGGTGGAAGACTGAGGAAGAAGTAGCAGGAAGGAGGAGAAGCAATCCACACTGAGTTGGGCACAATGTGGGCTGCTCCATGAAAACTCCAAACTCTCTAGATTATTTGCAGAGTATTTATTAAAAGCTTTTGTATGCCGTCCTTTATATAAATGTCTCAGAGTAGTTTAATGTGTTGTGTGAACTCATCCTAGTAGAACTATCATGTGTGAGTTCATCATTAGGCATTTTTTAATATTGTCAGTGAGATGTAGGTAGGTCAATAGCATAAGAACTAGAAAAACTTAGCACTAAGGTTTGGGTGCAATTAAACATGCTGAAATTTTGGTTTGGCTGTTGTCATTTTGTTTTACAAAAAATGTTAACTATCTTCCTGCAAATGATCAATCTCGTTTCTTACCTCTAAGTCTTCATTCTCATCAATATTTTGTATACTTTGGAAGGCAGCAGTATAAATCTCTAAGGCTTTTCCATGGAATAGCATTTCAATTGTTATAAATTCAGAAAATATGTCCTAAAAACCAAATAAGATGAAAAGTGTTACATTCATACTTCAGTTTTTTTATCTCTAGCCTAAAACCAGACAATGTCACTGTTCACAGGCTTTTTTTTTTTTTACTGTGTGTCAGCATGTTAGCACATGCAGCTTGAATGTTTCTGCAACTCTTTGTCCCAGCAAGAGTAGGTAAACAAAGCAAGGATGCACAATCTCTGGATTCGTTAATATTATGTCCAAACTCAGAACTCTAGCTTGTCCTTCCTTCAGTTGTAACCCAAGTTGTGCTAATTCTATGCACTGTATGCCTCAAATGTTTAAAAATCCTCAATTCCGATACTTTGGTTTGAACTGGCATATCAACAGTCTGGACTCTACACATGAACCCTGCCACACGTTAGGGAACGCCCAGAGAGATAAGGCCCCACAACACAGCCCATATCAGAACTGCATGCTGCCTTTCCCTTCACTTAATATTCTAAAGATTTCTCCATGAGTACAGATGTACACAAGAGCTCTCTCATGTAAAGATACTAAGCCATGTGGTCTTGGAAACCCCTTAGCATATTAATTTAATGTTTGGATGGCTCATGTGAAGACCCTTTTCTGATGCCATTATAGAAGTCGTCTGAATAATTTCTTAATCTCAAAATGCTTCAAAGACTGATGCATTATACTACAACAACATACCCACCTTTATATCTTTTATTTTTTGTTTTTCAAAGTTGTCAATGGTTTCCTGCAACTGCTGACTTGTTCGGCTAGCATCCAGTGAAGCTCTCTGTAATTCACTTTCAGCCTTAAAATATAAATAATGATTAATTATACCACAAATAGATGTCATCCTTTAACTTTTTATTTAGAATTATTAGGCTGCCCTCTAAAGGCAAATGACTATGGCTGTAGCTCCTAAAATAGCATTAATCAATTGACACGTACGATTCCACGTTTCAGAAAGTATAACAGGTCTTATGGAATACATTCAAAGCTAGTTATACTACAGATTTATTACTACTTCGAGAGAATTGTAAACTGTGCTTATAGAACAACTTTGTGAAAAATGTTCTGGAGGTAATAGTAATGACCATTTGTCTAACAGGTTAACTGTTTTAGGATGCAGTCTTGTGCATGTTTAGACAGAAAAAAGGAAACTGTAGAAATCTTTCTACCAAAACATGTATAGGATTACATTCTAAAATATAAAAGAATCACATCTGTTTGTTCTTGATTAACACATTGAGAAAATGCAATTTCTCAAATGTTATAAATTAGTTTCTGTTTGAATTAATCTACTACTATATTATATGAATATTAATTGAAAGGGGAAATATCTGTCTTGGAACCCTTTTAGGACAGAAAATGGAAGTATGGTAAAATTAACTTCATGTTAAGTAGTCTTAAATTTGAAAATCAATGGGACAAGTAGCTGTACAGAAGAGGAACTGTCAGTGGAGAACTCAAAGCTGAAGCACTGTTTAGCTCACTGTGGAATACTAGGAGTTGTAGTACTTTTTTGAGGGGGGGGGGTCTAAACTTGTATAGGATTATATTGTTTTTCCCATACAATATAAGAGAGAATTTCAAAGTAAAATGAGTTGACATAATGTGGATCCTTTAAGATGTGGTGGGCAATCTGTAGTTCTCCAGACGATGTTGACTGCATCTCCCATCACCACTCATCATTGACTATGTTGGCTAGGGCTGATCAAAGCTGCAGTCTAGCAGTATTTTGAGGGCTGCAGGTTGTCCACTTCTGCCGTAAGCAGTATGAAAATGGAATCAGTTTCAGTCTCTACTTTTAAAAATTTTGTTTCACCAAAGAAATGATAGTATCTGCTGGGTGCACTAGAGTTTATAATAAAGATGAGTTACAGTTAAGTTACCAACGAGACATTATCTTCTATTTCACAAATATGCAAAAAAACCCCACAGCATAACTTTCAATAGATTTTATTTAATGAAAGCCTCACCTGTGACTGAGATTAGCAATAAAGGAAACATTACCAAGTTATGGAAAATGCTAAAACTGCTTGTGATAGTCACTGCACTTAAAGGCACATTTATATAAAGAAACTGAACAGGCTCTAGTCTTTAATAGCCATTCATGGAATTAAGACAGGGTTTGGTAAATCTTTAATCTCTTTCAGTGTAAGAACAGAAAGAAGCAGCTCTCAAGCACAACATTTTAGGGAGACAATGGGTGGCAGACATTGCCTTAGGGAGGCTTTTTACACTTACTGCCATCTTTGTAAATTGTCTAACAGTGCAAATAACACTATTTTAGTAGAGTTAATAGCTGTAAAGGATACAATAATATGCCGATCTGATGGATTTCGTTGGCGTGTCCTTTCAAGCTGAGACAACTGTTTTGCTTCTCGGTTCTTTGCTGTTAAAGCTAGTTTGAGGTCCTCCTGTAATTATATAGACACTTTGAAAGACTAAATATATTTAAAAACAAGCTTTTACTAATTAAAGTTTTTAATAGCTAATCTGCAAGTACAAATATTGATAGCATTCAGGGCATGTATTCATCAGAACCAGTTAATGCATTAGAATAAAAAACTGTACCACTTTTCTCCAATCTTTAAAAAACATCAATAGGTAAAATGAAATTACTTTTATTCTCAAGTTAATAGTAGGCTTATTATAGGAGAGATCAGCTTCACCAGAGGAATACTTGAATCCTGTATAAGTTTTGTTACTGTGTTAGGCTGCTTGAGCTTTACTGACATACTACTGATATATTTCTTTCAATAAAATCATGACTTTTTGTTGATTTGTAAAATTGTAAACTACCTGCTAATTTTATTAAGAAATGATATATACTTTTTGGTATTGGTTGGCCACTGATGTGGCCTTTTAAAAACAAGATAGGATTAGCCAAATGTAACCATTGCATATTTAGCTCAAGAAGTTGCTGCCACAACATGTGTACCCAGGCATGATTGACTACTGTTGTGGGAACAGGCTGCTGGGCTAGATAGGCCTTTGGTCTGATCCCTCATGGCTTTCCTTATGTTCTAAGAATAAAAGGAATCAATTTCAAGACTAAGTGGCATGGGATATCCAAATGCCCTGGGACTTCCACGAGCAGCACCTGAGAGCAATACCATTTTCTGGCTGTTGGTTTCCTAGCAACTAGAATTTCTGGAGGTAGCCTACAGCTATCATGATTAGTAGCAATGATAACATTATCCTCCATGGATTTAACACAATCTAAAGTGATGGCTTTTACATCTTGCAGCAGCAGTTTCCATAAATGAAATATGCACCCGTTGTATTTGGATGATCCAATCTCACTTTAATAACCAAAAACAGGAACAAGCAGCCCCCACCCCCACCACACAGTCCCTTTGAACTTCCCCTGGTGGTGTAAGCAAAGAAACTAGAAAATCTCAACGGTGATGACAGATTTCTGTTTTGTGTGAACTGGGAAACCAGGTTGCCTGTATCCAAACAGATCAGAATGTTAAAACATAGTTTGAAATTGGATTCATATTCTTGTGTATTATGAGGTTGGTAACTAGAGTTTCCAAGTTTGGATGATAATGTGGCATCTATGTTAATTAAGTTCACACTGAATAGGCTTCATGCAGGAGCTTCATTCATGTTTATTAAGCTGAAATAAGACCATCTGAATGCAGCTACTGTGTGAAAATGTATTTTTGTCATGAACCTTCTGCCATTGGATTTCATTAGACATTTGAAATTTTTAATTCTCATATTACATACCTGCTTTGCAAGATTATATTACTGAAATAAGTTATGAGGAAATGCCTTAAACATGCAATGGAAAATAAAATCCATCACTTACTCTTTTAAGTTTTATGATTGTCCCATAACATTTCAGTGGTTCTACTACTTTGGCTTCAAGTCTTTCCACCTAAAAAGAGAATTAAAAATCTTTTTAATGACACCATTATTTTTTTTAATCCTGGAGAGAATGAACAGGCACGGCTTTGCATTCATCACTATGTAGCCCTCCCCTTGCCCCCACTTTGGATTTCTTAATCAGTTAACCAAGAACTATTTACATAGACACAGACATTTACAGACAATCTAGACATGTCCAACTTACAAGTAATCTCTAATCAAGTTCAGTGGGGCATACTGTCATGCAAGTAGGTACAGGATTGCAGCCTTAATCTTAAAAATGTTAAACAATGGTTATTTCTGCAAAAATCTGGGTAGTGGATGATGGAGAAGGGGGCGTATATAGCAAGGAAATGGCACAGAGATTGGTTTACCTATAAAATGCAATTAGTAGCTGTTTGAAAAAAGGTGAAACAGCTAGGCTTTTTCCATTAGCCTGCATGGACTAACTAACTTGGCTGTACTTGTGCAGTTGCTGCTACATAAATTCATTATGCAGCAAGTGCTACTCAAGAGCTTCTTCACCTCCCCTCCCCCTTTGTTTCTTTTTCTGTTGTGTCTAGAGTATACAAGCTGGTGCTTGTATGTTACGCTTTTCATACAGTGCTTTGTCAACACATTATACGTAGTAGTAATCAATGAAATATAAAACAAGAAGGAGAAGCAATAGTTAAGGAAGCAATATTGGGATCTATCAATATTTGGATCTATCAATTTAAAACTTTTTTTCCCCTCTTGATCACATTAGGTTACCAATTCATTAGTTTTCTTTCTAAGTAGCAATGACAACATCTCCTGTTTGTACTAATCTTAGCGCTGCTAAACATAGGCCAGAGCTGAGAAAAGATTCATGAGAACCAGATAGCCAGTCTGGAATTAGATAGAGAAGCAGAAGTCTACTCATAGCAGGTCAGGGCACTAGGGAGGTGATGCAATGGGGAAAGAAAACCATCAGCATATGAAGTTACCCCCCTCGTCCAATAGAGTATTTGCAAAGTTGCCTGTTTCTGAGCAGGCACTACACAATGCTCACCTTTTTCAAAACTTGCTTCCACAATCATGCTAAAATTGCCAGGCATTTGTTATATATATGAAATATTTTGAGATTGTCATGCATCAAAATTTCATGTAGATACTGCAGATGCTCAGTTTGAAAACTTCTGTCATTTATAAGTGAAAGTGCAATTTCTGTGTCTACAACATTTATTTGGTTTGCTCTGTTATAGATTCTCTGGTTTCCATGGGTTGATTCTAGGGCAACATAAGATTTATTTAGGTTTCACTAAAATCAGTGTGAAAAGCTAGCCATAACTAACAAGTCCTATTTGCATGATACTCAGTAGTGATCATCTGCCAATGCAGTGGCATCCTCTAGAGCTCAAACTCTTCTAGAGAGTTGGAGAACCATTTGGAGCAGTTTCTGGATATGTGTAGGGTACTGTTGCAGGTGAAGGAGGAGAGCACAAAAGTTGGCTTGAAACTCAACATTAAGAAAACTAAGATCATGGCATCCGGTCCTATCACTTCCTGGCAAACAGATAGGGAAGAAATGGAGGTAGTGACAGATTTTACTTTCCTTGGCTCCGGGATCACCACAGATGGCGACTGCAGCCAAGAAATTAAAAGACGCTTGCTCCTTAGGGGAAAAGCTATGGCAAATCTAGACAGCATACTAAAAAGCAGCGATATCACCCTGCCAACAAAAGTGCATATAGTCAAGGCTATGGTTTTCTCAGTTGCAATGTATGACTGTGAAAGTTGGACTATAAGGAAGGCTGAGCGCTGAAGGATTGAGGCCTTTGAATTGTGGTGCTGGAGGATACTCCTGCGAGTCCCTTGGACCGCAAGGCGACCAAACCGGTCAGTCCTAGAGATCAATCCTGACTGCTCTTTAGAAGGTCAGATCCTGAAGATGAAACTCAAATACTTTGGCCACCTAATGAGAAGGAAGGACTCACTGGAGAAGAGCTGAATGCTGGGAACAATAGATGGCAAAAGAAGAAGGGGATGGCAGAAAATGAGGTGGCTAGATGGAGTCACTGAAGCAGTTGGTGTGAGCTTAAGTGGAGTTCGGGGGATGGTGGACAGGAGGAATGTTGTCCATGGGGTCGCAATGGGTTGGACACGACTTTGTGACTAACAACAACAACAACAGGGCACTGCAGGGTGAAAAGAGAATAGAGTTCTTCTGCACAAATGGAAGCCTGCTCACAAGTGTAGTCCATAGATTTCAATGGAATCAAAGTACATCGAACAGTGCAAAGTTATGCACATTTCTGAAAGAAGTCCCAGTGAGTTCAGTGGGATTTAATTCCAGGTAAATGTGTATAGGATTGCAGCTTAATTTATTCTGTAGCCAACCCTTCATGCCCAAGGGCATAAAACTATTCTGTGAAAATGATAAAGGACATGAAATGTGCAGTCCTACCACTCCTGTCCTAGATGCTCATAAGCTTCCAGAGATTTATGTGCATCCAATGGCTGAAGTGAGACACAGTTGAAGTAGTCTTTGCCATTGCTCTGCCTTGTCCATGGATTTTACACAGATGTCTGTTTCTGGCTATCTGCAAAAAGTACCAGGGAGAGGAAGGAAAGAAAGCTGTGGTACAGATAGGAATCAACATAGGTAGACAGCCCCAGCCTTTCTGGCTCCCTCTCTCCTAAGCTGTATTTCTATTCTTGGAGAAGAAGCTGACAATATTCTTTCTGGGCTGGCTGCAGAATGGCAGTGGGGGGCTTGGCAGTTGGAGTCAATTCTCTGAAGAATCCTATGCCCTTTCCCGACAATGTCAGAAAGCCACAGGATTGTGCCCTAATTTGACAACAAGGTGCATGAACTTAATTGTATACCTCTGCCTGCCGATAATCCTGAAGTTTGGAAAATTCATTTGCAAAATTTTTCAATCCAAGCTTTAAATTTGGAGTTTCTGTAGCTGCATAAGCATGTATTTCATTTACTAGAAGATCTGCTTTGTCTCGTAGCCTGGCAGTCTTTCGCACATATGCTGCAAATATTTGGCACAATTCACCAAAGTGTTTTTCCACATTTGACACAGCTTCTCTTATTTGTTTAGTCTGATTATCCCTAAGAGAAAGAAAATAAAGAGTAAGGTCATACAATGTTCAAAATAAGATAAAATAATCTGACACTACTACTGCAATTATTTTAATCTCAATTCATTTAAAGCAAACAAAGACCAACCATATTTAGATTTAAAATGTGTCTGATATATAAAGAATTTTGAATGGCCAACAGCCTGTATAAACACCAAATGTTAATGTAAAATAACAACAAGGGTACTTTTGCAAGTGACACCTACCTCCAATAAGCTTCAGGTCGCAGCCACATAAGCATTTATTGTCTCCTTACTATCAGAAGCATTAAGATAGGCTGGAAAAACCTTAGAACAGATTTAAACAAAAGGTCCCATGCCCACGTATAGAGCACCATTTCTTTGAGGAGTGAACACCTTCTCACCCTCACCTGGTGTCCTCCAGATGTTTTGAACTACAGCTTCTGGAATTCCTGACCAATGAGCATGCTGGCTGGGGCCGATGGGAGCTGACGTCCCAATCTTCTGCAGAGTACCACCCTGGGGATGGCTGGCATATACCGACATAAGGGTTTGCTCATTGGCGTGGGTCTTCAGCGGTCGACCCCAGCACGGTACTCTTTGCGGCTGTCGAAGCCGAGTCCCGATTCCTTCGCCGCAACAGCCCCTTCCCCCCTGCCCCGGCAGCCCCGACTGTGGCAAAAGCGGCGCGCATCCCTCCAGCCAGCCTCCTCCCTCTCCTCCGAAGCCAGCATTCCCGGCGACTCCTTGCTCGGCAGCCGACAGCGCAGGAGACCCCCAGAAGCGAGCGAAGGAAGTGCCAGCTGCCCGCCCGAGGCCTGGCCCTTCTCCCGCTAGCCCTCCGTTACCTGGGATCCAGCCCACGGCCCAGCATGAACATGGCGGCGGAAGCGAGAGCAGCCGCGCGCACCGGCCGGTTGGTGGGAGGAGCGGGTGCCCGGCCGGTTCCCGTGGAAACCGAGCGCCGCCCACCCGGCTGGCGGCCTGGCTCAGCGGCCCCCTGGGAGAAGGCGAGCCGAAGCTCCTCGGCCTGCAATGAGGGCGAGCGCACTCCTGTGGGCGGGGCGGGCTTCGTGTCTGCCGCTTTCCCCGCGGAGAACCAACGCTTGCGTGTTTTGCCGGGGCCGCAGTCGCTGTGGCCGTCCTCCTCGCACCTCACGTCAGCGCCGCGGCAGCGGAGTCCCCTTGGAGCCTTTCCCGATCCCCGCAGGCCCTTACGCCCCTTATGGCCGCTCCCTCTTCCTCTTTCTAGGAACTAGCCGAACAGCTTATACTCAAGCGGGAGCCGGCAGGCCTCTGGATGACTGCAGATGCCACCTTCATTTTTTTCCTTAAACGTAAACATTTTTTCCAGCAGCGCATGTGGCTGCAGGGCGCCGTCTTTGCCTGCGGTCGTTTGCTGTGCTTGTTCTCTTGAAGCTGTGCAACCGTCAGGCTCTTGCGTGAGCAGGAGAGAAATGAGTGTGGGAAGTAGTGGAGGCGGCAGGAAGCTTACTCTCTGCATATAGTCCGGCTGCCAACTTCCTATCGTGGGAGGTGGTGATGGCCGCCAGTTTAGATGGCTTTAAATTCATGGAGGAGGAGGCTATCCGTGCCTAGCAGCCTTGCTGGTTATGAGCTGTCTTCATTACCAGAGGCAACATGTCTGCATGCACCAGTTGCTGAGGAGCTTGGGCAGGCAGAGGTCTTACACATAGCCACTTTGAGGGATACTGTGGACAGCTGCTTTGGCAGCATGTGAATGGGGTGCTGGATGGGATCCAGTATGGCGCTTCTTACCTTCTTGCTCCTTCCCTCTGGCTGATGCAGTAAGATGCTGCATTGAAGCCCACAGGAAGTTGTAGCAGAGTGGAGGTCCATGAGCAAGATACTTGGTGGCATCCTCCATTCATTTCCTAGTCTTTCCCCGTGGGCAGACCACAGATTGAGAGGAGGTGCATTCACTAGGTCTGGACAGGGCAGCAGTTTGGACTGGACCTAGTGAGGGTGCCTTACAAAGGTTGCCTAGGATTACATTTGAGTGAGCCTAATCCCAGGTGCTATACTTTATAGAGGAAGAAGGTACATTAAGTGATGGAGCTGAGGTGTTGGTTTATGTAGTTATTTAAATGATTTAAAAGATTCTCTTCAGGGGTAGAACATTCTGAAGGTGCTATATAAAATGAAAAAAATACAAAACAATTAGAAAAGTAATGTGTATTTTCTAAAATATGATAAAACACTGTCAAAACACCCAATAAGATCTAACTATTTGAGTGACTCAAGTGAAATATTGTGAAAACCTCTAAAAGAATTTTTCCAAACAGGAGAACAGAGATCAAAATGGCAAGTGCAGTTCAATGTAAGCAAGTGTAAAGTAATGCACAATGGGCAAAAATACTGAATTGCATGCATATGCTGATGGGATTTGAGCAGGCTGTGACTGATGAAGAGATTTTAGGATTGTGGTAGCCAGTTCAATGAACATATCAATCCAGTGTGCAGCTGCTGTCAAAATGGTAAATCTACCTTAAGCATACAAATACAAAACAAAAGTGCCAATGTCATAGTGCCATTATGTAAATCTGTTGTGTGACCACACTTGGAATATGGTTCTAGTCATTGCACTAGATTGCACTAAAAGGGATTGCTAGAAAGGTGCATAAAAGGAATAACTTAGAGACAGAGCTAGTGTGGTGTGTAAGACTGCAGAACTTGGAGAGCCAGACTGTAGTCCAGGAGTGGCCAGACTTGCTCAATGGATGAGTCACATATGGTAAATGTCAGATATGTGAGAGCAGCGAGTGGGTGCCTGCAGGTGGTGGCAACAGGTGACAAACTGTAAGCCACAAAATAAAGAGCGGTGTGCTGCTCCCAAGTCTCAGTTTGGCCACTCCTGCATCCCTGCTTTGCCATGAAGCTCACTGGCTGACTTGGTGACACTCACTCATTCTCAGCCTAACCCACCTAATAGGGTTGTTGTGATCATAAAATGGAGCTATGTAAGCCTTCTTGAGTTCCTTAGAAGAGGAAAAAAGTTGGGATATAAATGCTCTGTAATAATATATGAGGAAATGCTACAATCTCTGGGGCTATTAAAGATGAATAAGGGGAAACATTACTGAGGTTTACAAAATTATGCTTGCTGTGGACAAAGTGTATAGGGAGACATGTTTACCCTCTCTTAATATCAGAGCCAAGGGTCATCTCATGAAGCTGATGGGTGGAAGAGTCCGACTGGAAGTAATAGTTCATACAATAAATCATTAATAACACCTCGAGATGCAGTGATGGCCACAGTTTGGATGGCAAGAGCATTAGACACATTTTTAAAGCTCTCCTAGTTATCCAGGGGTCTGAGGGGATTTTCCTGGTAATTCTTGCTGGGTCTTTTATTGTATCTTATTGTGTTTTAAAACTATTTTAAATTAATTTTAACTGCTTTACATAGCTCTTTTTATGTTGTTTGTATTGTGTTTGTTTTATACTTTGTTGTAAATAGTCCAGAGAACTTTGACTACAGGCCAGTATGGAAATGAAATAAAGAAAGAAATAATAAAATTTTTGGATGATGAGGCCATGCATGGCTAGTCCTGCTGGCCAGATGCCATTTAAAGTATACAAGATGGTATGCCTTTGTACACCTGTTGCTGGAGTATATGAACAAGAGAGTCCTGCTTGTGGAGTTCCAGAAGCAGCTGGTTGGCCGCTCTGTGAATAGAAGGGAGGGACATTGGTCTGATTCAGCATAGCTCTTATGTGAACTGCCCCTTGCTTTAGGAAGTAAGCAATGGCAGTGCTGTTTCCACACTTGCTTAGAGGCATGGGTGGAATGGTTTTGGCACAGAGAAGCAAAGAGAAGGGGGCTCCATCTATTCAAATGGGGAGGCAGGGTCATCTCATGGTGACTCTGCTGGCAGTGGTGCTTGGCTGCTCCTCTGCTGAACCTGGGTAGAGGTCGGCACCAGTTGGCCTTTCTGAGGAGCTGTGGCCTCACTGCTGCCTACCAGTGCCAGGGACTAATACTGGCCTTGATAACACTTAACAAATACTATGAATCTTACTATCACCATTCACAACACCTCTCTAAAGAAGGTATTAGCATATTGCAGTATTATCATATCAAGAGGCACCAAGACTGGGAAAGGATTGATGGCTTCTCTTAAGTTACTCAGTCAGTCTATGACAGGCAGCTTTCGAACCAAAGATAATAGTAGCTGAGTTCTCACAATCACTGAGGCTTGAACAAAGTTCAAATAACCCATGGCCAGTTTATTGTAAGAACTAGGTCATTAGGGTATGATGCTATGCATGTTAAGGTAGTACAAATTCCTGCAACTCGGAACATTGCCCAGCCAAAATGGCTGGCTGAATGACACTGGGATATGTAGGACCTTTTTTATTCAAACGTGCAGAGGTTTGCACACTGAGTTTCTTTGGATTCTAGCAATTCTTGGAGCTTTCTAACTATTCCTTTGCAAGCTTCTAAAACAGAATATTGCTTGAAGACCTTCCAAATCTCTGGTCCTCAGGGCACTTAATTGCTGCATCCATTATCAGATGTTGAACCTGTGTGGTGATACTGCACAGATATAAGGGCTGGGGACCCATCAACTGTAGAAACTACTGTGTTTCGCAAGATAGGCCAATAGCTATATTTCTCTATTACACATTCACAAGCACCCTCACAATCCACACAGGGTTGAGTCAGATGTCAGGAAGACAGTCTTCATGGGACCACTACAGAAAGCATGTGGGCTTTCACATAGTCCAGCTACATGGTCTGGGAATTAGGGAACTGCAGTCTAACACATCTGGAGGGCACTAGGTTGATGAAGACTGATACAGCAGAAAGACTGCTCACATTGAAAAACACCCTACTTATGATTTCTTTTATCTGTCGTGCTAGCTTTGCATGTACAGGGAGTTTGAGGGCTACCCTTATAAGGCTTGAATACAGTTTAGATAAATGAATAGATGTCTATCCTTGTTTATTACTCATGATAGCAAAGTATCCTTATACAGAGGTGGAGAGCTGCAGCATATCCTTCTATGGATTTTCTGAAAGCATCTGGTTTGCTGCTTTAGGAACCAAGATGGTGGACTAGATGGACCTTTAGCCTACTCTGAGAAGTCTTTTATGTTTTTATGGAAACACGTAGTCCAGGTACAAATGATAATTTATGTGGGAGATCTAGAATTAGATCTCTTGACATTTGTCAGTGGATCTAGTCACAGATCTTCCAAATAAAATATACTTGGGTCCCCAGTATCCTTGAACTGAGATAATTTGATATCACATGCCTTGAACTCCTAGTATTTGGGCAATGCACGTGTCAACAAACATTCTTATGCGTAGCACACTGCTAAAGATATGAATAGTCTGAATACTTGTGATAATTCTAATTGTGGATGCCAAAGCTGAATCCTGCATGGCAGCATGGTGCTCAGACAGACCAGGCACTCGTATACCCCAGGCTTGCAAACACTTCCCCTTCCTTCAGCTGCAGATGCCTAGTGCTCCTACAATAATCACATTCTTCCTCTGGAAAACTGCCAAATGTTGAACCTGGGCAGTTTCCTGAAGTTTTACAAGATTGTTCAGTCTGAATTAGATCACTGTGGTTAGGGATAGGCAAACAGTAGGTGGATTTAATTTAGAATATAGTTTTTTTAATTGTATGGATTTCTTTGCTATTGCTTACAAATTAATTTGTTTTATAATATTTAATTCATCCTGATCACTCAGATTCAGGCAAGGGAAAAATCTATATGGAGAGAATAAAAAAGGAGAAATGAATACAATTTTTTCATTTTTTCCTCTACTTGAATGAGAATAGGACCCAGGAGTTCTAAATTTTCAGTCCCAAGCCCAGATGGTGTATGACTTGTTCACAAATTTTTGAAATAGTGTTTTTATTTTACTGACTTTAATAGTTCTCCCTTGCAAAAATACATATTAGCACAATGTATAGCCTTAATTTTACTTAATTATCAGACTATATCATG